TCTGCAGAGTGTCTGGAGCCTAAGTATATGCAGAGTGCCCCCCTCTCTGCTCCTTGATAAATAGGGAAAAGGTCCAGTTTGCTCCAGCTGGAAAGTTGAAGTCGTTGCTAAATCCATCTAGCTTCGTTCTGTGAGGAAAAGGACAATCTCTAGTCATATTGTTTAACTGTGAGTATTTTGTCTTCTCTCAATAACCAAAATTTTACAATTTTATGCTGTCTCAATTAAATATGAATGTTAATTTTGTGGGCAATTGAAACTATTATTAAACTGTAAGCTGTTAATGGTATTTTTGGAACTCTAGTTTCCACCATCATTCAGTTTAGCTTTTGCAAAGTGAATAAGCCAATTGTTGTTACTATGATAGTCAAACTATAAAAAGCATTTGCTCCTTGAAAATGAGAAATTTAAGTAGATTATACAGTGATTGGTTTTCTCCTGAAGAATGACAAGGCAATTTTGGGCTGTAGTTGAACTCCAGGTGACATTTGATGTAATAATGTAACTCGATTCACCATGATATTTACTCTTACATTTTAAAATGAAACTTGTTTTTAATCAAGAACTTATTCTTAAAATACATTGTATTTTTCGAAACAATAGGTTTTATGTGAATTCAAGGCAACTTGACATATATTCTGATAAAGGTGTATTCAGGGAATTATACTTCTATTCAAAATGCTATGATTATAAAAATTTATAAAAATTCTTCCAGATTATGGGAATGGACACAAAATATATTTCTATATCTCTGAATTATTTATTAATTTCATAGTCATGAATTTTCTAAATATATAGTCTGATTTCTCTTTTTTAAGCTGTGAAAATTACTTGACATAATATTAATTAAATACTTTTTTCATCTAAAACTATATACGGAATTGTATGATTCCATTTATATGAAATGTCTAGAATAGGCAAATACATAGAAACAAGAAAGTGGATTGGCGGTTGCTAGGGATTGGGGGAGGACAGAATGGGGAGTGACTGTTTATGGGTAGGGGATTTCATTTTGCAGTAATAAGAATGCTCTGGAATTAGATGGTGGTGATAATTGCACTCTCTCAGAATATTCTAAAAACCAAGAACTGTACATTTTAAAAGAGTGAATTTTATGTTATGTAAATTACATCTCAATAAAGCTGTATAATAAAACTCTATGTGAAGACTTCAGAGTATAAAATCCTCCCAGTTTTCTAAGGTTAAAGGACAGATTCTTATAAAGAAATCAAGAAGCCTTAATTTGTGCTGTTATTCAAATATATCCTTTTCATTTTCATTTTCCTTGGTTCCAATAAGCTCAGAGAATTTTGGCTCAAAGAAGCTCTACTATGAAAAACTTTTTTATAATTATGTATCACAGAGCACTATCATTATTTTTTTAGTAGAGGCTACTATGAAAACTGAAATTTTCAGTTTTTCTTGTGATGCCATCTACTTCAGTTATATTAATTTTATGCAATGCATTATTCATGATTCATGTGACATATATTGCAAGAGTAAAAATGTAAAAACTGTAAAATTCTTTAACATGTGGATATAGTTCTGAGGAGTCAATATGTTTTTCCTGTTAAAGTTCTGGCTATGTGAAGATTTACTAAGCACGATTTTTAGTTAAGGCAGAGGAGATGCAAATTCATTTCTGCAATTAAGCATCTTTTCAGTAAAATAGCTATTATAATCTATAAAAAATACAGCTTTATTTTATAAAGTTATATTTGTTAATGAAAAAAAATATAGACTTTGCCCATGCCAAATTGATCCTCTAGATAAAAGGTCCTCTCTTAACTGAGTTATTTTTGTTTTTAAATAAATATTTACCAGGAAAGATAACAAAACAGAATCACTCCAGGCCTACTGTAACTTTTCTCTTTAATAAGATAGGAAGTTTTTGATTACATACCTCCCTCTATGCTATTAATAATCTACTTAAGTGTTCTTAAACTAATTGTATGAATACTTTATTTCTGAAAGTTTTGTTTTGTTATGCGTACATATTATAATACTTCTATTAAACATCTAAAAGGCTGAAGAACATTTAATAAGGGAAAAATTTTATGTGGAAAATAATACAATATTACTATAAGCATATAAAACATAAATATTTCATATTTTAAAAGGCATATTTTTAATCAAAGCCTTTTTATGTATATGTCCCATGAATGCCCTGGAATATAACTAGTCCATAAAAACAGGTCAGCTTTGGGGTGCCTAGTTGGCTTAGTTGGAAGAACATGCCACTCTAGATCTCAGGGTTGTGGGTTCGAATCCCACTTTGGGTATAGAGATTACTTAAATAAATAAATAAACTTAAAAAAAAACCAAACAGGTCTACTTTAGATAACATTTTTGGGTGTTTATCTACCAGTATTGGAAGGACTTGGTTTCAGAACATTGTTATTTACGATTTGAACCCTGATAGTGGCATCACTATAAGATACTTATGTGTGTCTTTGTCAGGATATCACCGGTTTTGTTTTAATGAGCTACCTCTGGTTCGTTCTAGATTATTTCTCAAACTTTCACTCAGCAAAGTCTGTATCTAAGTAGTACCAATTTTAATTTTCAGTCTTCTTCAGATGTTCGATATTATATGAAGCCTAATGGTAAGTGCGGTAATTTTAAAAGAAGGGTGAGTAACAACTTCAAGTTTTCAGGTTCATTTATAATTTTCTAAAACCTAACTGAGGCTCAAAAGAGAAGTTTGGAAAGAACTGAACAGAACCATTGCTACAAAGTATCACACATATTAAATGGATAGCGTTCAGAATTGTTTCTATATGGAGAGCCAATTGACCGGTTGCAATATAGAAACACGGAGGTGTAGACTGACAGATCTTATTGATTTTAGTCCTAACTTTTCAAGGGAAACTTTATATTAAAATTTCACTTATTTGGGGGCACTGCTTTTGCTTCATCTCTTTTATCCAGTGCTTATTCTATAGGACTGCTGTTATGCTGTCAGAAGACTGGGAGTTTCAAGTGCTTTTAGAAGAACATACATTCTATTAGATGATAAAGGGGACAAATTTCAAAGATACTACTATTGAAATCATCTTCATGGATATAGAAACCTCACCCATGAAGCTTGCACATGAATAGTAAATCAAAGGAAAAGATTTTTCAATATAATCTCAGAGGCTAAAAGTTTGTCACATAAATTTTTTGGCGTGATTTAAAACCCATTTTCTTTTTTTTTTTTTTTTTGGTTCTTTTTAAAGGTGAAAACCATTTTTATCTTTAATAGAGATGATAAAGCTATAAAAGACTATGGACTCTAGAGTGACCTTTATTCCAATAATTTTCAATTTCTTGAACTGTGATTTCCTGTTTAAGTTTATTCAAATTTTTGGAGTTCCTTTCTAGGAAATAACAAAAATAGTTTTTCCCATTAAGGGATAATCTTAGATTGTGAATAATTTTTCTTATAATAGCTTATGATTTTTAGGCTTTACCATTTAAAAACAGTTTTAATTCAATTTAGTTAACATATACTATATTATTAGTTTCAAGGTAGAACTTAGTGATTCATCAGTTTCATCTAACACCCAGTGCTCATTATATGAAGTGCCCTCCTTAATGCCCATCACCCAGTTATTACCCCATCCTCCCACCCACCTCCCCTCCAGTAACCCTCAGTTTGTTTCCTAGAGTTAAGAGTCTCTTGTAATTTGCCTCCCTGTTTTCATCTTATTTTATTTTTCATTCTCTTCCCCTATGTTCATCAGTTTTGTTTCTAAAATTCCACATATGAGTGAAATCATATGGTATTTGTCTTTCTCTGACTGACTTATTTTACTTTGCATAATACCCTCTAGTTCCATCCACATCGTTGCAAATGGTAGGATTTCATTCTTTTGGATGGCTGAGTAATATTCCATTGTGTGTGTGTGTATA